CATGTGGATTTGGGGTTTTTTGTTTTGGTTTTTTGGTCCTGGGGATCGACTCAGGACCTTGTGCATTTGAGGCAGGGGGTGGAACCACTGGGCTAAATTCCAGGCCCAATTCATTAGATTTTGGATTCTTCAATAATGTGTTCAAGGGCCAGAGATTTAGCTCAGTAGTTGCACCTCCTGCCTCTCAAGCGCAAGGTCCTGAGTTCGATCCCCAGTACCAAAAAACAAACAAATAAACAAAATAATGTGTTCAATACTTTTACATGTTTTAACAATAAATCTATTTTGTCTGTCTTTTTTGAAATCTGTTAGCTCCCCAACCTTTGTTTTTCACCCTCCTCAGTCTTATCATCAGTTGCTACCATCTTCTCTCAGAAGCCCAGGCACTGCTTCTTCCTCCCTCCCAAGAGGTTGACAAGAACCTCCCTATTTTCCTTAAGGTCACAGCCTCTTCCACAGCTGCAGTGTCCTTCTTGGCTGGGTCTACACAGAGCACTTTCCTGTATGGGCTGAAATGCACAGCAGAAGCTGTGGACAAAGCCTTGATAAACGCCCTCCTATGTGCTATACTTTTTCAAGGCCTTAGTCCTCCAGAAGTCTGCATTACCTACTGAAAAGGAAAAAGGACAGGACAGTTTTGAAAATGGAGTAAGCATTTAAAATGATCTTCTAGTTCTCAATGAACAAGGAAGAGTCAGTGGTGCACTGGGGTTAATGGCTCAGACAAATCTCCTTCTTCCAAACAAGTTCAAATGCACACTTAGAAAAAGGCACTAATATCTCCCCTCTTTTGGGGTGGGCAAAATAAAAGAGAGAAATTAGGCAAGTAAGTGGTAGAGATAATTAGCTTTCATCTCCCTAAGGGTTTATCTAAGCCAAGATAAGTCTGGAGTTTACACTTTAGCCTTGCATTAATGTATTTCATACTTAACATTCATTGTAGGGCTCCTACTTCCAAAAACCATTACAACAAAAAAATGCATCGGAATAAGGCTATTTTCACCATACCCAGCTGGCTACTTAATTTGTGACTTGTTCTCATTTATGTCCCCTTAACCTCAGAAAACAATTAGAAAGTAACTCATGAGTGCTATAACAAGTGAAACAAATCAGAAGTGTATAAAGAAAAAGCCAAAGCCAGCATCCCACCCATGCCACCCTCGAGGTAACTGGTGTTCACAGTTGATGTAGATCCTTCAACATCACAGTTCCTGGGAGCATAACTGGTGAGTCCAGCTTGGAAGGCCATTTGCCAATAGCCATAAAATGTAAATTGCACAAATTCTTTGATCCAGCAAACACATCTCAGAATTTATCTTACAGATATAAATGAACACACAGAATAGTCTCTGAACTGTTGTTTACAGTAGCAACAGTGGAACAGCCTAAAGGTCTGCTAAATTACGATGCATACCAAGTACAAAGTACTGTATAGTTCTAAATATTAGTGATGTAGACTAATAAGAAATGGAAAACCAATGTCCAGAATAGTGGGTATAGCATGTTCCTATATGTAATTTTGAAATTACATATAAAGTGGACCCTTGAGTTATGATCGTCCTGACAGATGAACAACTTGGGTTATGACCAATATTTTAGTTTTAACTTATGAACAAAGTCTTGAATGACAACCTGAATACTGGCCACTTGTGCTTCCACCAGGTCTCAGATACAGATTTAACCCTTAAGGGGCTCTGGAAGGAACATTACGACATCCTTTCCTATATGGGATTAATTGAAAAATCATGGGCCTATGTCTCTAAGGACACTGAGATCTGCCTGTACACAGGAGAGTGACTTTGAAGGCTGTGTAGAGGAGCCTGAGCCTTCAATTGATCAACCTGAGTTACAACCAGCCCTCGCAAACAAATTGAGCTCATAAGCCAAAGGTCTACTGTATATTTTTTCACTTGGATACTTGATATTAAGAGGCTATTTCTGAAAAAAAAATACATAATAAAACTTCTCATAGTGGCTGCTCTGAAGACGAAGTTGGGGGCTATAGATTTAGAATAAAAAGGGGACTTATTTAATTATATGCCCTTTGATAGCATTTAATGTTTTTATCGTAGAAATGCAGTCTTTTTTTTCAGATGCATTCTTTTTTTTTTTTCGGTACCAGGGATCGAACTTGGGACCTTCTGTTTGCAAGGCAGGTGGCAGAACCACTGAGCTAAATCCCTGGCCCTAGTCTTTTTTTTCAATGACATAAAAAGTATGGAAAAAATTACCAATCTGATGAAAATTATACTCATCGTTTAGCTTTAAATTTCCCTGACTAAAAGTAAAATTAGATACTTTCTTCATAGCTTTTGTGGTCATTTGCATTTCCTCTTCTATTAAATGGCTATTCATATTCTTTGTATGTTATTTTTAATTGGGTTATCTTTCTTATTAACTGTAGCACTTTAAAGATAGGGAATACTACTCTTTGTTTATCATATATATTACAAATATATTTTACAGTCTGCTATTATTTTTATACTGCTAATAATGATTTTTACCATTCAGAAGTCTTGGGGTTTTTTTTTTTAATATGATGTAGATAATTGATTCCACCTTTTTATTTGGGTTAACCTCCTTGCTTAAGAAGTCTTCCCTCAATTTACTTTTTTTTGGTACCAGGGATCGAACTCTGGACCTTGCACTTGCCAGGCAGGTGCAGCCCCATTGAGCTACATCCCCAGCAAGGAGTCCTTCTTCAGACAGAAGTTATAAATATACTTTTAACATTTAGATGTTTAATCCATCCAGAATTTACTTTTTAAAGGATGTAATTCAACAGTTATCTTCCAAGTATATAGCTAGTTTCATTTTTTTCAACACCTTCGCCCAACCCAAAGAATTGAAATTCCAACTATGAACTTTCCATGTGTATTTATGAGCCTTATTTTGGTCTCTCAGCTTCATGCTCTGCATAGCACTGTATCCCAGGGAGCTGACCCAAGAGTCTACCCCACCCAGGCCCAGTTGCTTCCAGGTTTAAAACTGGTTTGGCCAATGGAAGGCACAGGCAAGAAATCACAAGTCAGGACAGAGAGGTCAGACTGTTTATTCCCTGATTCCTTCTTCACTTAGTCACCAATTTCTTCAAACTCCCACCCCCACCCCAATGGTTCCTTTAACCCTGCCTATAATTCCGCACACAGACATTCCTACAAATTTGTTTTCAAACCTCCCTTGAGTATTTCTTTTACGACCCATTGTCTTTTCTTGTGCCTATTTGATGCAATATGATTATTAAGTTTGAATATCATTTAACACATACTCAATTTAATATCTGATGGAGAAAGTATTTCAGTATTCTGCTTTTTCAGTATTTTCATGGCATGTTAACATATTAATTTTTACATAAAATAATTAAAATAATCTGGTCAACTCAAAAATTGAAATTATAATTAATTTTGTACTAAATTTGTATGTCAATATGATAGAGATTATCATTTTTATGGTGCAGCTTTCCCCTTGTTGAACATGGCAGTATTTTCAAATTCCTGTTACAAACTTTAACTCAATATGCACAAAATAGTTCAAACAAATTACTGCCCTTTCAAAATTTACCCTTATTTTTTTAATTCCCTCTCACATATCAATATCTGCAAATACCCAAGAGAAAATCTAATGACATTTTCACTTACTTTTTGTTATTCCCCACAGCCAAATAGTTGTCAATTTCTGTTAAATTTTTTTGTTTACTTTGTTTTGTTTTTTTGAGACAAGGTCTCACTTTATAGTTCAGACTAGCCTTTGTGTAACCCAGTCTGGCCTCAAATTCGTAGTGATTCTCCTGCCTCAGCAGAGTCCTGGGATTACAGGCATGCTCCACCATACCTGGCCCAATTTCTATTAATAGTACCCAAAAAGTATCTATCAAAGCCTCACTCTCTCAGAACTACAAACCTACATTCCCTTCATCTCTTAAATGAATTACCATTTATATCTCTTAATTAGCCTCCAATCTCTAGCTCTTTCACACTGCTTCCAGAATTAAAATTTTAAAATGCAAATGTGAAAATGTCATTCCTCTGAAAACTTTCAAAGTTCTTGTTGATGTGCCAAAGCTCCCAGTACAGAGTAGGAGGCTTCCAGGCCAATGTACCACGGCTCCCAGCACAGAGGAGGCTTCTGGGTTGATGTGCCACACCTCCAAGTGCAGAGTAGAAAGCTTCCAGGCCAACGTACCACCTCTACAAGCACAGAGTACTCACCAGCAGCACCCCCCGGCCCTTTGAAATGAGAAGAAACATAAACAAGCCTCAGAACAAGACTTCCAGATCACCTACAGCAACCCCAAAGGAAAACAACATGAAACACTGAAACTCAACCACCTGGACTCCCTGAACTGGCAACAAAAGAGAATCTGGAAAAAATGAAATCAGAAATAATTTCTCAGAGAACAGCAGAGATTGTGCTTGTAGTGCAAGACATGATTAATAAATCTAGATAGGACATGGATAAAAAAATAGAGGGGCTGAGGAACATGATGGAATCCCAACATAGGAAACAAATGGAATCCATAAAACAGATACAAACAGATTTCCAGGAGATCAAAAATTCCACTGAAAGTTGGCACAGCAGAATGAGCCAATGTGAGGAAAGAATTTCAGATATAGAAGGTAAGATTGCAATTAGTGACCAGGAAAAGAAAAATTGCTTCAAAATTGTAAGAGAGGATGAGCAGCACAGCGCGCTCGTCCTGCTGGCCTGCAGCCTGTGGCCGGCGGGAGGACAACGCCAGCCAGGATTATTACATGGCGCGCATCAACTTGATGGTGTGGGAGCCCTGCCACGGCGCCCCCCTCACGTTCCACATCGACCGCAGGCGCTGCAGGCTCGACTCGCCCAAGGCCGAAGTCCACGGCCAGGTGCTGGCGCCATTGCCCATCCACAGAGGAAACTACCCCAGCCAGTATACTGTCACAAGAAACAAAGAGTTCCTAATCATCTGGGCTGTGATCCTCAAACTCAGTTCTTTGTTCTTCCTAATATCAAACAGTGGATTGTCTTGTTGCAGAGAGGAAATTGCACGTTTAAGGAGAAAATATCACGGGCTGCTTTCCACAATGCAGTTGCCGTAGTCATCTACAATAATAAATCTAAACAGGAGCCAGTCACAATGACTCATCCAGGCACTGGAGATATTATTGCTGTCATGATAACAGAATTGAGGGGTAAGAATATTTTGAGTTATCTGGAGAAAAACATCTCTGTACAGATGACAATAGCTGTTGGAACTTGAATACCGCCAAAGAACTTCAGCCGTTGCTCTCTAATCTTCATGTCAATATAATTTATTGTTTTGATGATTATTTCTTCAGCATGGCTCATATTCTACTTCATTCAGAAGATCAGGTACACAAATGCACGCGACAGGAGCCAGCGTTGTCTTGGAGATGCAGCCAAGAAAGCCATCAGTAAATTGACAACCAGAACAGTAAAAAAGGGTGATAAGGAAACAGACCCAGATTTTGATCATTGTGCAGTCTGCATAGAGAGCTACAAACAGAATGATGTAGTTCGGATTCTCCCCTGCAAGCACGTTTTCCACAAATCTTATGTGGATCCCTGGCTTAGTGAACATTGTACATGTCCTATGTGCAAACTTAATATTTTGAAGGCCCTGGGAATTGTGCCAAATCTGCTGTGTACTGACAATGTAGCATTTGATATGGAAAGGCTCACCAGAACCCAGGCAGTTAACCAAAGATCAGCCCTTGATGACCTTGCCAGTGACAACACACTCGGCCTTGAGCCACTGCAAACTTCCGGGATCTCACCTCTTCCTCAGGATGGGGAGCTCACCCCCAGAGCAGGAGAAATCAACATTGCAGTAATGAGGTAGAATGGTTTTGAAGAACAAAAAACTGCTTTCTGACTGATTACCTTGATGAAAAAAGAACCTATTTTTGGGCATCATTTACCAATCATGCCACACAAGTGTTAATTTTTAGTACATTTTATTTTTTCATAAAATTGCTAATGCCAAACCTTTTTATTAAAAGAAATAAAT